TTAAGAATTTTTGTTGATTCAAATGATGTTCTTGTTTGCTGACAAAGCGTGCAAGCACTAAATTTTTTAATGAGTTAACCCCTTTTCGTTTATCAATATTTCTAGAAACTTCTTAAACACAAGCAACTACTCAAAGTGGAGACCACTTAAAAAATGTCTTATGTAATTGAATCTGAATGGAGTACTATAATTTTTAAAAGCAAAATGTTTAAGTTTTGTTTTAGGAAGACACTTCAAAATATTATAACTGTGTGGAGAAATTAATAAATTGGGTGTGCCCTAAGGGCAGATCAAAGTCATGCAATAATAGCAACAAAGAGATCTGCTTGTCCATGCAGTGGTGACCCCTGACCCTGTTTGGTTGTGGTATCCTGATGGAGAGTCAGTTGGTCGTGGTCTTACCAGAGATAACAATGCCAAACACAAAAACACATCATGCTGACCAAGGTGTCAGGACAGTCTTTAAGAAAAGTATCACATTAAAATTAACAACAATATGAAAATGCAAGCAAAGGACGAAATCAAAATGAATTGTCTACCTTAAAAGAGCTGGTCTTTAAAATTATATCATCATGAGAGTAAAAATCATATTGGTCCACAGATTATGATGCATATATTAAAAAAATATCTAAAAATGACTTAATGAATAATAATAATAATAAAAAAAATGCTCTTCAGTCTGGTTTGATGGTAAAAGATTGCAGTGCATTCTATGAGAAATTATAATTTTAGATTTTTATCAAATACAAACTCTGAAAGAGACTAATATTGTTGATGAAGGGATCTGATCTTTTATTAGGTTTTGGGCGGGGGGGGATAAGTTAAAAATTACAATTTCAAATGTTTGTCAAGTGCAAGGTAAAATTTGAATTTGAATTGTAGGAGTTTGCAGGTAGGTTAGGACATTAATAAACTGGCAGGAGGAGGAAGGAAAGAAAGGATGAAAAAAAAAAGTTGCTGATAAAGCAGAAGGATATTACTTTTAGCACTTCAGGGAGACAGATTATCTTTCATATAGAGTCATTTCTGGGCATAAAATATATCCTTTCTTTTAAAGATTTGATTCCTATGAACAACATGTTATTTGTATAAACACTGAAATATGATGAGCTGATCTTTTAAAAGAAACTTGTTATAATCAGGTGAACAAATAGGGAGCTTAACCATCATAATTGTTAATACTAACATTAGAGAGGATAACAGTTTGGGGAGAGACTTAATTTGAAGATGAAACCACAAAAAAAAACAAAAAAAAACAAAAAAAAACTGAAGGCTTAAAAAGTGTAGCCATTATTGAGGCTGAAAAATATCACAGCAAAGGGTTAGAGGAAATATCACATGAACTGATAATAAAAAGGTACATTACAGAAGAATATTATCAAATGGATATAAAGGGAAGCATATATGTGTAAATGCAAATCAGTAAAACTGATTGTATATATTATGCACACAAAGCCAAAAATACTCAATGAACTAATTACAAAAAACTGACACAAATCAAACCCACAACAGAAGCAACCATTTTTTTCCTCCACGTCTAACATTAAAACTTAAGAGTTTTCCCAACTCAAGTAACCCTTCAACTCTATCCTCAATTCGATTTAACAATGCTGATGAAAAAACATAAAAATTTTGCCCTAACCACAACAAATTAGAAAAATTAGAAACACTGGAATTACTTTTCTTAAAGCAAACCTATGAAATTATAGCATTGTTTTTGTAACTTATTTTTATTACAAGTCAAATGTTTATTATTAGAATTCTAACTCAAAATTGATATTTAAAAAAAAAAAAAAAAAAGGATTTTTTATTACAAGTTTTGTCTCCACAACAAATATTTATGAAAAAATAACCCTGATATTGATTTCCTGGTAAAAAAAATCTGTAATGTTTTGTTTGAGAGAAGATAAAATGGAAAACAATAAAAAATGATGCTTAATCCATTAACTATGATAGAAGTTTCTATCATTTTCAGTTGTGCCATAGAACTGTAAATACAATAATTCTCATCATCCACAGTTAATGGATGAAGTTTGTGAGAATAAAACTTGGCAAGACATCTCACAAATTAGTTGAGCACATTTGGAAATAAAATTAGAACCAGGCACTATGGAAGAAATAAAAATGGTTAGGCACCAAACCACCTAGTGACTATCCAAGGTATATTTAATTACAAGCATAACTCCCAAACCATGCATACAGATAATTTTAATTCTTATGAGTTGCACAACAAAATCACTTTTTGGAGCCTTTCCCCTTTTTTTTCCATGGTTTAAAATGGTCAAATAATTTTTTAGAGCCAGCAGCTTTCTTGTTCTTCTGAGAGTCAGATTCCCAGCTAGAACTTTGAGAAAGAGGGTTATGAGATGTGAGTGTTTCACTCAGTATTTCATTTTCATTGGTTGCTCCATCATCTGAATGAAGTCTCACCAAAGGGTCATCTGATTTGAGGGTGGGAAGTAAGGTTTCAGGAACAGAATTACTTTGAATAATTGTATTTGATGGATGGTGAATTGGGGAGTCGAGGATCTCAAAAAGATCATCATCGGTATATTTCAACTGAGAACTATCTTCTACGTCCTCATCAGTAGACTCTCCAAGATCAGCAATCTCAGATGAGACATTTTCATTTCTGATTGAGCAAGCATCATCTTTGATTGGATGAATGTTTGGATTGCTACTTGAGCTTGTGACTTCTGCAGATTGACAGGGAGCAGGCTCGTCTTCTGTATCACTGCTTATTTGAAAGCTTATTTCTTTCCTAAATGAATTCTGTTCTCCTTCATTATTATTTGTATCTATGAGACTCCCCTCAGTGACATCTCCTAAAGAGACACAGCATACACCAGAACTTGCCTTCAATGTTGAATCTGAAATGCCTTCTACTTCTTCAACTCCAAGGCTCTCTGATATTGATTTCTCTTCTTTAGCTTTCTGCTCCAAGGCTGAGGGTTTAGAATCACATAATGCTTCTTTAGCATCTTCTCTTTGAGAGCCATCATTCTTTTCTAAGTTATCACCAACAGCAGCCAAATTATCTTTAAGGGAAATTTCATCAAGCTCTGCTTGTGAGTCAACCAGATCTATATCATCAACCAGTGACTTTGTTGTATTAGGGTTACCAAACAGGTCTTCATCAGGCACTTTATTTGGCTCCTTTTCAATATCAGCATTATCTGAAAATGGTGCAATTGTATCAGATTCACAAAAAATATTAGGAGACACTTTGTCAAACTCCTCTTCAGTAACATGATCCTCTAACAAAGATTGATTTGTTTCAAGAGGATCATTAATCAATAGTTCAGATGACAAAGAATCTGTTATATTTTCAATTTTTGTCTCAGAAGGCAGAATTGTAGGGGATAGTGTACCTGTTACATTTGTGACATTAACCTCACCTGAAAATGCTTCAGTTGCATGAGGCTCACAAGGTAAGTTTTTAGGAGACAACTTGTCTGTCTCACTTTCAATATTCATTTTTGATGCACCAGAGTCACAAGGTTGGACAATAGGGATGTTTCCTTCACTATCATTTATTGGGAATATCTTTAAACTGTCTTGCCCATCAGCTACTTGACTACTAGATTGCTCTTGATGTTTTATCTCACTAATTGACTCAATGGGATCTGTTGGTAGTCGCTGCAAATCTGCAGGCAACTCTTGGTGAAAGCTGACACCATCCTGTTCCTCATCTGAACTGCCATCTCCTCCAATACTAGTTTCATATGACTTGAACTTGCTTGATGCATTAATGCATGCATTTGGCACATTAGCATTTACATCTGATTTTGTTTTATATTTGTAACCTTTTTTCATCTTTTTTTTTGGTGAGGAAGCCACAACCTTACTGAAAAATGTCCCCTCCTGATCCTCAACAAAATCATCATCTAAGATCTCCTCATCTGTTGACAATTCGTTACCTGAAGAGTCACCTTGTTTAGAGACAAGCTTCACACAAGGGTGACTGTCTTCTAAATATTCAATATCTGTGCTCATTTGGTCTTCATCAGAAGGATTGACTGGAAAGGAGACAAAGTTAGGCATGTGGTCCTCATCGCTGTCACTAATGTTGCAACTATCACTAACCATATCATCTCTACTTTCATTATGAACTGCACCCTCATTAATTTCATCATTGTTTGCTGGTGAGGCTTTTTCCAAACTCTGACCAGGATTATTCACAATGTACTTCTTGTCGGTTTGAATAGGTTGGACATTCAAATTTCCTTCTTGGTCCAACTCAATGCTATTGTAAACATCATTAATGAGACTATTAGCTAAAGTTATCACTTGATTAGGAATAGGATCCACACTGCTGACCTTCAATTGACCATAGACCCTGCTGCCCTCACACATACCTGAACGAACACTCTCATCTAAAATATTAGTCATAGGTGATTCATCAACTGAACTTTCAAACAATTCACAATCATCAAACACTAAATGACGTGGGGATTCAACAGGGGAATAAAGAATCTCCCCACCAGCAAAAGAAGCATGACGACTACTTCGTAATTTAGGGGACATGGGATCTGACACAGAATTCATTGCATCATAAAATTCTTCATCATCGTCACTCCACACAGAGGAGTCTAATGCAGCCGAACTTGGCGGAGAATTTTTGTTAACACAAAATGAGGAAGAATCAGACATATGGCAGACATACAAACTGGAGGGTTGTTTAATCTGGGAAAAGGAGCTTTCAACAGATGGGCTACCATCAAATGCTGAGATGAAAGAATTGGAACTGATATGAGGAGAAGAGACAGTGGAAATAGTTTCCAGATCAAAATTAGACTTAGCATATTCTTTGCTTGAAACCAAGCAGGGCAAATCAATTGAAGCCTGGACTCCAACATTGCACTGCTTGGACATGGCAGACGATGGAGCAAGATCATTTGCTGCTGCTGCTGCTGCTTGAGAACTGCTGCCTTTATAAAGTACTGCTGAAGGAGTAGCACTACTTGCTGTAAGACACTTAGGGGAGATCTTTAGTGTACCTAAGGATGTGTCCGCTTCACTGGCTAACCGTGAATTCACCATTCCCATTGTAGGTAGGCCAGCTGTAAGGGGGCCATTGGGAGCTGCAGCCTTCACTAGGGTCCACTCTCCCTCATCCGATATGACTATGGCAAGACCATTTTCCTGAAAATATGTGTGACAAACAAATGTGCATGTATTGTATTTATAAAAATCTGAATTAAATCATTAATAAAACAGCATTTAGTTGATAGTGAGTAAAAATCATTAACTTAATTACAATATCAAGATATACTTTATTTACAATTAATAATAGAAATGAAAGCAAAGAATAAATATCAACTGATTAAGCTTATTTCATTCAGGTTAAATAATTGTGCAATATTATAAGCAACTGATTATTTTTAAAATATTTGACCCTGATTAAATTACTGAAAAAAAAAAAAAAAAGTAAGCTGGAGAACACAATAATTAAAACATTGTGATTATAACAACAAAAGAGGAGGACAATAGTCTGAATGTAAATAAAAAATAAACATATAAATAATAAAATTTGCTCACCTCAATTAATTTATCTCTTTGTTCTACTTGCATCTTTAAATTTTTAAATTCTGTTTCTAAATCACGGTATGATCGTTTTTTAGATTCTAATTCCTGAAAAGAAAAATAGGTAATAATTAAAGCAAATCATAGTCCATTGAATATCAAGCTGCAATAGCTGGCAAAAGTGGGTCATTGTAAATTTAAGTATTACCATAGCCAAATCAGCAATGACAAAAAAAGTGTTATAGCAGAGGAAAAGATATTCAACACAAAGTGGATCTGTTTAACTTTACTGTAAATAATACATCAAATACAGACCTTTGCAGATTGATTTGTTTTTTTGTTTGTTCTAACAGCTTATCAAACCTTTGGAAGTTATTTAAAGCTGGAACATATTCTAGATTATAAGAATGAGTGAATATTGCACTAGCAAGTTTTTTGAGAACAATAATGATTTTTCCAGATACAACCCACTGTTAGGGGGAGGAGATGGATTCGTACCTTTCCCAAGGTATTTCCATGTAAGTGAATGTAACAAACCTGACTGGAATTTGAACTTGGCTCTTGGTTTCTCATTCCAAGCTGCTATTACACCATCTGAACATCTAACCTTTACAGAAGAGTTTTGTTTTTTTTCTAATTACCATACATATTGAAGAAACAATACTTCAAACAGAAAATACAGGTCCATAATACTAAAAGATTAAAACATTAAAAAAAAATTACAGTAAATTGAAAAAAGAAAAAAGAATAAAAAAAACTGTTGCTTAAAATTTGTTTTCTTACTCCCCCACTCCTTTTTTACTTACTTTACATTTATCTCTAAATTCCCGCTGACATTCAATCACTTCTTCCTCTCGTTCTTCCAGTTGATCTTTGAGGAGTTCAACCTCATAGACCAATGACTGCTTCTCATTGTGCAGCTGGGCAGTGCCCATCATCGCTTTCTTGTATTTCTCATCCAGCTCAGCCAGCTGGGACTGAAACAGAAAGAGAGAGAGAAATAAAATAAATAAATAAAATTAAAAAAAAAAAAAAAAATCAACACAGTGGCAAAAATTGATTGGTAAATTAACAGCTAGTCACTGGGCTATTTCATTTTGTTGGAAATACTTGATTATAATAAATGAAGTGGTAAACAAAATCAATTTCTTAAATTTTAAGACTAAATCTTTTCAGTTTTATTTTATTACTAGTTTCACACCATTTACTTATTGCTGCTTTTTATCCCAAAATCTGGAAATAGCTACTACAGAGATGTCAATTTAATCTTATAAGCCACAGAATGATTAAGCAGATCACAAATCTGTCATCATTCCGTCACATGTTCCTCTTAAATTATCAATACCATCTTTGTTTTATTGCTTAATAGTTTCTTTAGGAAAAAAAACAATGCAAAACATTGCATAATAGTTTTTTTTTTCTTCTTATTTTTTCTTGAAAAAAATAGCAGACAACGTTACCTCTTTCACTTGAAGGCAGGTAAATATCAATACAAAATTCTTAATAGGAAGAAATTACAGAGATAAAACTACAAAAAAAATATCATTAAAATTATTTATTATCAATACCATTTTGAGAATAAGTAAATATTTTTTTTTCTTCATCATTAACACAAGGTATAGATTGAAAATTGGCTGTTGTAAAATTTAAATATTGATAAAGTGCTACTTTGTGGCAATCCTCAGATGGTTTGGCAAGCAAACTAAAAAAACATAACCCTAGTATATGCAGTAACCCATGGAGTGGGGAGATAAACTCTTTAAGAGAATAGGATTTTTTTTCCCTCCACTTTGGATTCGATTTAAGCCCTTTTCTAATTAGTTTTTCCATTTTTTTTTAACTGCAAATTTCTACTTAGATTATTGAGGTAGATGATTTTTCTTTTATCTTTTTGGCAGCTAAGGCCTAGTTTCTTTTTACTTACTTTTGGTTACTTTTGAGGTTTCACTAATTTTAGTGTATATATTTTTAATATTGAGCAATCAGTATATTACAAATATATAAATCAGTAGTGTAACGTTCTCAGCTTCAGCTAGAGTATTAAAAAATATATGATTCTCAATATTTGGTCAAATATTGAGAATCATGCCAAACTTGAGGAGGGCCTTGATGCATCCTTAGAAATGACCACATCAGGTGTTTTTTGCTCATGTTGAGGATTGCATAGAGAATAGAAACTGTCAATGAACACTTGGTATAGTCTGCAGACACACACATTATATATATATATATATATATATATATACACACACACACACAATCTACTTGAGTAGAAAATAAACATGATTGGAAAATAGAAGATTGGATTCAAATCTGATTATAAAGGTATGAAACTCTGAGATTATTTCTTTTTGCATTGAAAACTGTAAAATACAAGATTAGTTTTGTTAAACCCTTGACAAAAAAGTAAAAGTAGTATTTGTAATTAACTCAGTGTATGTTTTTGCATAAAAACCATGAGTGAGGTTTGCATTTCATTGAATAAAATCTATTTAAGATTTGTCACAGCTGTATATATGCCCAAAAACTTTAATAAAAAACAATGCAGAATTCTGTAAAAATATTTCATCTGTTTTTGCTTTTTGTAATGAGAAATCTTATTTCACTAATATTCTATTTGGCAATTTCATTTTTAAAAATGATTATTTCCCTTGAATTGTGAAATTGAGCCCCCTTTTTTTTTTTAGAACATACCGTATATTTCCACATATAGGGCAACCTAGAGAGAAGATGAGACGTAAAATCTAGGCAAATTTTTATGATTTTATCTGATATCCGTAGTATATGAGTTGAACCAATATGATGAAACTGTAAATGACAATGTTTATGATGAGCTCTTTGCATCAGATCTTGATGATCATAGTCATTATGTATGTGGGTGCTTTATTTTTTTTTTTATTGATAAATAAAGATTTTATGCTATCTTAAATGTTTTGTTTATACCCCCCCCCAAAATAGTGTATAATGTATGTTATTGAAAAATAAAGTTTGCATGTTACACTAAATATTGTTATTTAACACCACAATGATAAGTTTTAATTAGAAATAAAGAATTATGTTATCCTAAATAACAACATTTAGGATAACATAATTCTATATTTCGCACTTCAAGTTCTTCCAAAATCTTGGTTTAGTATATTGGATGTGCTTCTTTAACCAACCCAAAAAAAGGTGTTAAAGTCAGGACTCCTGACTGGCTGCTCATACATAAAATAGGGAATAATCACCCTGTACATAAATGTGCCGATTTTTATAAATTTGGACATCTATACACAACATTATCAGCAAATAAGAGCAGTAACTATAATAAATTTAAAGCCAAAGTACCTAAAATTTAATAAAACATTAGATTATATCCAAATTTTTTAAGGTTACTGGGAAGTTAAAAAATTATATGAAAAATTATAAGATTATATTCATCATGTAATTTTTACAGATATGCTACTCACCACATAAAAAAATTTCCAAACATATGCCTATCAAGATAGTTGTCAACACTTTATAAAAACACCCACCTCTGTATTAAAAATGCTTTTCTGCAATATTTTAAATTAAAAGTAAATGTTTTAAATCTGATTAAAGAAACTTTAAATCAGTTAATCTTTCTCAAATAAAGCTTCAGAAGAGTATATTTTTGAAAGATATTTTAATAAAAAGGGAAATGCTGAGAGATTTGTAAATATGACTAAAATCAACCAGTTTCAGCAATTAAAAAAATATCATACAAAGCAATTTAAATGCATTTTGAAATACAGCAAAGTATTTTGCTTAATGGAAATATTAAATTTAACCTACTGGATTGAAATCAAATCTAAAATAAATTGAAGATTTTTCATTTTTAAAAATGCATTTGTAACCTTAAGTATCACTATTATTTGGAGGTATTATATTATTTGGAGGTATTTTATATATATATATATATATATATATAGCTCTGTATACAATACACTGAGCTCTCTTCATCCTGAAATTAAGCATCCAAAATTATACAAAAGTAAAATATGAAATCTGAAATTGCATTGAAATTGAATCTCAGAGTCCAAATTATATGCATGCCATCTGACACATGTCTATTTATAATTGGCATAAAAAATAAACAAAATTGTATCATGATGAATAACCTATTAGAAAGATAGAAACATTTTATTTTCGTAAATATTAACTTGAAATTTGTATCCCTCTACTTTTTTTTTTTTAATAAAGCTCACTATTTACATTCCGACTATTATCCTCATCTTTGTTGTTATCATGTTTCAGCAGAACGCTCACTGTTTTTATTAAAATTTTGTTTTCTAGGTTCGTTAAATGTTGTTGGGTCTTGTGACTATAAACTCATGTGATCAAAATAATAGACAGCTTGGCTGATATTATTGTAAAAAGAGAGACTTTTTCTTTGCAGACAGAGATTCAGACACAGAAGAAAGATAATAGACATATCAAAGAATCAGAATTAGTCAGATCAAGCATCATTATGAGTCACAAATACAACCATCTTTGTGCTCTTTACAATGTACACTGATTGCTCATATCTCAAAACATGTTTGGGTGGATCAGAGAAGCAGCTTATTTTCCAATCTGTTTTTGATTAAAGTCATACTTCCCAAAAATCTTTAATGAAATTTTCTTATCTTTTAAACATAGCAACTCTTCATAGGATAAAACTTCATTGATTTTGAATTGAAAAAGAAATTTGTGGATATGCATATAAATCAGCAAAGTGTAATAAGTATAAAAAAAAGTTGAGCCTAAAAACAAATGAAAGCTTTTTAAAGTCCCTTATGACACTGTAACTTTTATACATAAGTCATTTTAATCATAGAGAAAAGAGAAAAAAAAAAAAAAAAAATGACTTTTTTTTTTATTGATAACCATAACCTAAAACTTACTTCAACCAGCTTCATTTTATGGACTCTTTTTGGTTTATGTCAAGAACTTTCATCTCAATCCATTACATAAGTAGTGTTAAAAAGATACTTTAATTGAATACCACAGTAATTTATTCACCCTTTAACGGTTGCAGAAATTGCTGTCATTCAAAAGGTGAAGTACAGAACTGCAGTCAATGGAGAAAATTTAACTTAAAAATAAAGAGATGAATATGTTGGTCAAAAATAAAATTTTACAACTTTAACATGCTACAAAATCTCCAGATTACAGCTAGTGAGTGAACTGATAGAAATAAAGTTGTTTTCTATAATTTTCCATAAAAAAGCACTTACTCGCATTTCCCGAGATCCCTCATCTGTGGTGGAATCTTCACTCCCTCGTCTACTGCTACCACCACCAAACTGTCGCATTGATGTCTGAAAAAAAATTACAAATAAATGTTAAACTTAAAAGAAAAACAAAATACATGTCTAATCTTCCACATTCTAGAATAGCCACCAAGTGAACAACAAGCAATCAAAAGCTCTTCACAGATTGCTTTGAGAAAGATAATGGAGTGGTTTCCTATTGCCTTTTCTACAGTTTGGAATTCAGAGGAGTCTTTCATCATTCAGCACATAAATGATGATTGCTCTTCACCAATTCCTTTTCTTTATTATCTGTGAACTGTCATGACTTTTTGAAAAATATAATGGAGTGGTTTCCCATTGCCTTCTCTGTGGATTTCAATTCAGAGTAGTCCTTCTTGACTAGCTGCCATTGATAGTTTGAGAGCCCAGTTGACCCTACCATTTAAACCATGGCTGGGTTCAGTATACACCTATAGTTTGGCAGGAAATGTAAAAGAAAAATAAATTTTCTTCTAATCTGTATAGACCTCAAACATCTAGTATGGTACAATTAGGTAATAATCTATAACAAATATTTAAGTGAGAAATATTCTACAAAAGTTTCAATATTTATGAATTCAACACTTGCCTCAGGACATGATGTACATGATATAATATGCAGAGTGAGTTTTTAAAGTATTTTTATAGTTTTTTTTTTTTTGGAGGGGGGGGGGCTACATGAATACAATCCATATATATCAGTGATTCCCAATGTGGGGCATGGTAATATTTTAGTGGGGCATGTATAGGATGTGCACCCTTCAGCTTACTATACTAACAGAATAAGGGGGTAATTTGAGAATGAGTTATTAACGGTGGATTGTTTTCTAGTGAATAAGAGTGTTAATGTATGTTAATTCATACAATGCATATACAATATGCATGCATAAAAATATTTTGTGCGAATGTACATACGTGTGTAACTGGCATACATGTAAGAATTAAATATTACAGGGGAGGGGACACCAGAATTTTAGAAATACCAAAGTGGGGCATGGCCCAAAATCAGCGGGGAACCACTGATATATACGAGGGTCATTCAATAAATAAGGTGAATTTTTCGGTATAAGGACTTCTAATACAGATAGAAGCTTACTTTTTTTTTATTTTTAGTTTTATTTCTTTTTCACATGGATTTAATTTCTTTTGCAGATTAAAAAAAACAAAAAAAAACAGTTTTGGCGATTAACAAAGATGGCCGACCAAGAAGCATGCTCCAGGATTGAACAGCAGTCAGTTATCAAGTTTTTGGTTGCTGAAGGGTGCAAACCAGTTGAAATTCATAGGAGAATGTCAACTGTGTATGGTGCCACATGTTTCAGCAAAAAAAATGTCTACAAGTGGGCTAAATTGTTTAAAGAAGGACGGAGCAGTGTTGAGGCCTACAGAAGTGAGGTCTCCGGAGGTGATCGAATCAGTCAATGACCTCATTCAGTCTGACAGAAGAACGACTGAACTGCTGAGGCAGGTCAAGAAAGACAAAGAACAAACGCAGGGGTCATCAGTCAGAAGGAGTCATCTTGTATCATGACAACGCAAAGCCTCACACAGCAGCCCAAACGGTGCAGACCATCAACGAGCTGGGCTGGGAACTGCTCCCTCATCCCCCTTACAGCCCAGACCTTGCCCTTTCAGACTTTCACCTGTTTGGTCCCTTGAAAGCATTCACGAGAGGCACAAAGTTTAAAAGTGACGATGAAGTCAAAAGTGTTGTGAGCGACTGGCTGAGACATCAGTCCAAAGATTTTTATGCTGAGGGAATACGGAAGCTTGTGCACAGATGGGAAAAGTGTGTGACAGTGCTGGGAGACTATGTTGAAAAACAAAAAAAAAAGTAAGCTTCTATCTGTATTAGAAGTCCTTATACCAAAAAATTCACCTTATTTATTGAATGACCCTCGTATAATATTCACCTCTTCCCATCTTTTAGAGAACTTACTTTGAAAATGAACAAAAAAAATGTTCAGTCTCATAGTGAAATTTATTACAAAAATTAATTTTTTTTTTCTTATAATAATTTCATCCCAAACAAGGCAATGAAAGCCACTCAGATGCAAGGGAGAGTGAGGACAATAAAAGAACAAAAATTCAGAAAACAGAAGATGATGATTGACATTGCATTTAGATTTTTGCCATTATTTATTTAAAAATAAATTGTTTTAAATTTGCAATCTCTGGCCAAAGTTTTCTCATCTTTCTTGCATAGCCAGACTAATTTTCTGACAGACCCTTATTATTTCACACACACACACATATATATATATATATATATATATATATATATATTAGTTTATGCAAAACTAGGTAATCCGTATGGGTAGACCCAAGGAGGATGATATCCAAAGAGCTCAATGTAAATTCAGAGCAAATAAATTTGAATAAAAACAGACCACTTTAAGGTTCCATGTAATAAATTATTTCACCACAGCCCTTTTAAAGGTCTCTGGATCATCAGACTTTACTTCCAAAGGTTGAAATGAAAAACTTTTCCATCGTCTGTGTCAGTAAACACTGTGTCTGCCAGGAGGCTGCTGTTATCAGAATCACTGCCCTGCAGGTCTAACTCAAGGCAGATCGAACGCTCACTACTCTCAGACTCAGAATCGCTTTCATCGCTCAGTAACGGTAGTGATTGCATCACCAGTCGCAAGTCTTTAATGTGACGAGGAACCCCATCAACTCTCACAGATTGCGGGGCTGATCACCTCCGTAACACGTCCCAGTGCCGTATTTTTGTCGTACACTTGCCGCGGGGTTTTTGACCCAAACAACATCTCCTTTTTTCAATCTCCTCCAGTCACTTCTAGTTCAGGTAGCGGGTTGGCCTCGATGCCTTTCACACGGACATGTTATTTGTGCAGTGCATCAGCCGGCGCCGTGGATGGTGAAACGTTATTTTTCGGGGCGACATTATACCAGTAAACCGCCTCCGATACTGTACAGCCCTTCCTGGCTGCGATGGTCTTGATGGTCCTGTGGTTCCACTCCACGATGCTGTTTCCACTTGGCGAGTAGGCACATCGAAACCGCAGATGCACGTCCCAATTGTCCGCAAATTCTTTAAAGTCTTTACTGGTGAATGCAGTATCATTGTCCGTCAGTATTTCCATGGGTGGGCCTCGCTCCAGGAAAACATTCTCCAACAGTCGAATGACGGTGCTCGTGTCTTGCCATACCGCAAACCTGGAGGGACCGCAATCAATAAGCGTTAAAAAATTCTCACCATTGTAGTGAGTTATGTCCATCGCCAGTCTGCTCCAGTTGCTCTTCACACTCAGTTCTCTTTCCCAGTGAACGGGTGCCGGATCGATCGACTGACAGGTTGTGCAGGCCTTCACAACAGATTTAATGCTTTCTCTGGACACCTGCGGGTCGACTAACCTGGCGAAGTACAGAGTTCGTTTCATGCCCGGATGTCCGCATTGACGATGAGTATTGGCAACCTGGTCCTCGTCCAGTCGTCTCCCTACCACTGCACAGCTCTCGTGAGGCGATCCGCACGGTTCTGACAGGACTGTACGAGTGTCACATCATATTCTTCCACCAGCGATTGCAAAATGCCCAGCCGTCACCTAACCAGCATCTCGCCAGCTGCCCTTATGTTCACCCGTGCCTTCCCAGTCAAGGTGTCTGAAATCCACCGGTGCACATACGCCGAATCAGTAACTAAGTGCAATGTTGTCGCCTCCCACTGGAGAGCTAGATTCACTCCTTTAAGTGCTGCATCGAGTTCAGCCAAATTAATATGCCTGGCATCATTAGTCGGACGCAGCCAGCACGCATCTTCGATGACATTTCCATTTGCTTCCAATGCCACTCCTGTCGCCACGGAACTTGCATCCACCCAGACTGTGATCTCGTCACCACTCATGCACCAGTCTCCTCCAATGGGATCCAGTTCCCGCACTCTACTTAACATCTCCGCTAGTATGCAACAGAGAGAGGGATCTTTGATGTTATCATCCCATCCATTGGTTATTGCAGTTGCCAGGTGCTTGACGAATGCAACTGCCACTCTGAGCCATCCACACACTGGGAAATGTCCAACAAGTTTCCCACACAAGGAAAATATGCGCCGCTGGGTCAACACATCAGGGACTTCCGGAATTTGACCTCCTCGTTTCCATCGGAGGGTGCCATTTTCTTCCCAGACTTGCAAGCCAAGAACTCTTGCTCCATCTCTCAGTCACACCAGATCCTTGCACACCAAACCGTAATCTGAAAAGTGTTGTCTTACACGCGATGCAGAGGCCAAACTTTCATTAATGAAGATATCAACATATGCTGATGTGGCACTTTCAATTGTGCAGTCTTGCGATGTGATGGCGTCTATAATGGATTTCATGATGAGTGGCGCTACATTTAGCCCAAATCCTTGCCGCGTAAGACAGTAGCGTTGGCCTTTGAAAATAACCGTTTGAAATGGCCACAGCGCTTCGTCGATGTGAATCTGAAGATATGCGTTCCGCAGATCCAGAAGCGACACATTGACCCCCTGCGGCCGCCACGTTCTCAACTTATGTGCGCACACTTCTGCATCAGCAGTAAAAGAATCCACAAAGTCGTTCAATTTGCAGTAATCGAGTACCAGACGCACCTTCTGTTTCTGCACGACTGCCATCAAGGGAATTAGACCCTTTGGGGGTCCCAGTCTTTCCTGGGGGTACGGAATCAACCAGCCGTTCACAATCCACTGCTGAAGCTCTTTCTCGTATTTTTTTCTCTGATGCTGTCGGAAACTTTGTACTCTGCGACCTTGTTGCGAAGCTGAACTGGTGGGTCTTTTGGGCCCATTTCACCTGGCGGTCCACACCCTTCGTCGGAATTGAAAGAGACGTCGAACCGCTCACTAATGCAAAGGGCTGCACATCTTTCTTCCTTTACCCAGTTCCACATTTCCGGCTGGCGTGATTATCATGCCTCCTAACGCTCGGATCACATCAATCCCAAGCAGCAGGTCGTACCCGAGGGGCCTTTGACGTGCCACCAAAACGTCGACCTTGGCATGATTCCCTCCGTCTGTGAGG